AATCTGGCCCCATATCCCCATTATTCGAATCGTGTGGACCGCCATATTCCAACGAAATGTAGAGTGAATGTGATTGACTGGGGCCCCTCCCGGTTAGCGGAGGCGCGGGTGTGTGGTGTGGGCTCTAACTGGTGCACCAGCTGGAGCGAAGAGCACCGCTACACAGCCTCTAACACATCACACCTGCTGCAGGCTCTTCTCACCCAGCTCATAACACGGAGGCCATTTACCTTTGGGTACCCTCTCTCCCTTACCCCTTCTACCCTTCACAACCCTCCCCCCCCCCTCTCCACCCGGTATCCCACAGTACATATTTTTTCCGTGGTATTTAATCAATAAAACAACGTATGTCTTTGCAAGTGTTAAAGCCTGACGCTTGGAGCCAGCCTGATGCAACTGTGCAAGATGACTGGTGATTGTATGGGTCAATACCCCTACACACGGGGCCGGTGTCGGCACCCAGGTCCTCTTGGAAGATGATCAATCCACTCATGAAGTAGCTGAATATGTTCTGACCTCAGTCTTTAGATTTTAGTAATTGTTATACATACATACATGGACAATGCAGTTTGGACAATAAGGAGCAGGGCGGCGCTCCAGTAAGTGGCCGTGAGTTAAGCGTGTATGGGAAGGGAGGGGTATGGAAGAGATAGATAAGGAAGAGTAGAAAAGTGAGGACTGGGCAAGGCTGAAATGTTTGTACCTTCAACTCAAGAGGACGACCAGAACATGTCACCTTTGAACTCATCAACATAAACTGTGAAATAACCGATGTGTTTGACGGTTGCCGTGGCCAAAGACGTTGAGAGAGACTTACGAGTGTGTGTCAAGGTAAGTTTCTTAATTAACTCATTCTATCCTTATTTAGTAAAGGATGTGATTTAAAGCTCAACTGAATTATCAGAGCTTCAGAGCTCTACTGCATTACCGGAACAATGAAAGCCCTGCATTGTAATCCTAAAGAGTTAGGGTGGGTGAATGCCTGTGTGGGGGCCGAGGCTGGTGCTGAGCTAATGAGCTGAGTATTTCCGGGGCTGGCCACCGTCACCCCCCCCCCCCCCCACCCCGCCTGCTCTCTGACCAACCCGTCCTGACAGCACCTAGTATTTGACCTATATTTTACCTAGAGCCAAAAACTGTACTACTAGAAAATGGTAGCGGCTGGCGAAATTGACATAATGTCCCGTTTTCTGTTCGTGGGTCCTCTGGTAGGTTAGGAGAAGGCATTTTACTACGACAGTTTCTTGACGTTGGGGACGCTGGCGAGAACAGGTTGAGAGCCATGGCCAGGATTCATTAAGGATTTACGCTTCGATTTAAGGAACCTATACATCTTAGTCAACCTATTGAAGAGCAGAGGTGCAACAGGTACTCTGAGAGAGAACTCTTTCAACATCAGAGGCCCGAGACTGTTCAACACGCTTCCACTACACATAAGGGGCGTAACTAGCAGACCCCTCACAGTGTTCAAGAGAGAACTTGTTAAATACCTCCAAAGGATACCTGATCAACCAGGCTGTGATTCATACGTCAGGCTGCGAGCAGCCGCGACCAACAGCCTGGTTGACCAGTCCAACAACGAACAGGCCTGGACGAGGACCGGGCCGCGGGGACGCTAAGCCCCGAAATCATCTCAAGGTAACCTCAAGGTAAGGTAAAGTAACTATATTCAAGGCTGCCTTGTTTACATTTACTAAAGAGTTTACCAGCTCCGAAGCGCTACGAGGTTGTCAATAACAATAACAACCTCGGGTTGGGAAGTTTACACTCGTAAACTGTTTAATAAAAGTAAACAAAGCCGTCACAATTCAGGAAAGATGTATAGTTATCTTGAGGTTATCTTGAGATGATTTCGGGGCTTTTTAGTGTCCCCGCGGCCCGGTCCTCGACCAGGCCTCCACCCCCAGGAAGCAGCCCGTGACAGCTGACTAACACCCAGGTACCTATTTTACTGCTAGGTAACAGGGGCATAAGGGTGAAAGAAACTCTGCCCAGTGTTTCTCGCCGGCGCCTGGGATCGAACCCAGGACCACAGGATCACAAGTCCAGCGTGCTGTCCGCTCGGCCAACCGGCTCCCTTCCGGTATAGAGTTGTATAGAGTTGGTAAGTGGTTGTAAGAACGCGTGACGGAGACTGGCCCAGGCCTCTAAAGAATACTATCAAATCAACCAAACCGTTGAGACACATTACGGGCTCACCATAGCCCGTGCTACATGGACATTTCGTTCCGAGTAACTAAATCTAAAACAACAACAACATTCAGACACAGAAACCATAATATAAAATAATATTAATGTATATATGAGAAAACAGCGGATCTGAATACGCAGTTCGTTAACATTGAGGATAACATGTTTGGGTGAGCCGCTGCTTGAATGACCATAGAGTGAGGACATGTTGGTCATGTGTAGTGTTTGTTCTCCAAACATAAACTACGAGACGGTAGCTGATTGGTTAGCCAGTATTTGGCCAGAGTGTTTACGAGGTTAGGCTATGAATGGACAAACATCTGGCTACTGATGTTGAAAATGGCGGGAGAAACGAGTCACATGCACGACAATAAGTGAGCAAAGAGCTTGGCCCGCAACCCGTTCTCGCACTTGCTTATAGTCAATATTGGCTTATTTAATAAGTGCATATGTGACATACTAATTGATTGTAAATATTTTAGTTTACCTTGAAAAGCTTCATAGAAAACACCGACCTCACCTAACCTTCTTAGTATATTAAGATAAGCATCTTATTGCTTCTTAATTACAATTATTACTTAACCTATACCGCTGATAGGTTAAATATTAAACTAAAATATTCACAATCAATTAGTATGTCACATATGCACTTATTAAATAAGCCAATATTGACAGTAAGCAAGTGCGAGAACGGGTTGTGGCCTGAGACCCCACTAGTGTTTTATCAGCCCCGGCGGCCTCAACACCCCAGGGTATTGTTCCAGCCATTGTGCTCACTGCCACCATTTTTTAATGGAGGAATAGCACACCTTAGCTGACAGGTGACGCACTGGAGAGGGTGGATGACGCACCGCAGTCAGATAATGACGCACTGGAGCCGTCGGGTGACGCACCAGCGGTGACACACCAGTAACACCCATGTCATTGGTGGCGAATATACACAGATATTCCTCTAACCTTTCAGTTATGTTTACACTCTTGGACTGATTGTAACATGAAGCGTAAAATCGGAGAGGATTAGACTGTATGACCCAATAAGACGTATCCCCTAGATGATATAACAGTCTTAGTCTGTCCCCTATCCTTCAGACATGTAAGGGGGGCTTCACAAGTCGCACTCAACTGCCATCTTGGGTCCAGGAACGCCCCACCACCACTCTCGCCTCAAAAAAGTATCTGGAAGGAGGACCACTGTCAACTACTGTCGATAGACAAGGCAGCCATAACTCACAAACAAGGCTGCTATAACTCACAAACAAGGCAGCCATAACTCACAAACAAGGCAGCCATAACTCACAAACAAGGCTGCCATAACTCACAAACAAGGCTGCCATAACTCACAAACAAGGCTGCCATAACTCACAAAGAAGGCTGCCATAACTCACAAAGAAGGCTGCCATAACTCACAAACAAGGCAGCTATAACTCACAAACAAGGCTGCCATAACTCACAAACAAGGCAGCCATACCTCACAAACAATACTGCCATAACTCACAAACATGGCTGCCATAACTCACAAACAAGGCTGCCATAACTCACAAACATGGCTGCCATAACTCACAAACATGGCTGCCATAACTCACAAACAAGGCTGCCATACCTCACAAACAAGGCTGCCATAACTCACAAACAAGGCTGCCATAACTCACAAACAAGGCTGCCATACCTCACAAACAAGGCTGCCATAACTCATAAACTGGGAAACAATTTATATATTAACCTTTACAGTAATACAAATACAGCAACAAGGTCATTGAATACAGCTCGGCAGTGAGTCGGTACACTGCCAGGTACACTAATGAGTCAATGGTTTACCTCTAGGTGGGTACACCGTCAGGTTTCATGAATGACGTAACGTCAAAGGCGTCATAGAGCAGCCCGTCCTCCCAACGTCAAGAAACTGTCGTACTAAAGTGCCTTCTAACCTACCAGAGGACCCAAAACAGAAAACGGGACATCATGTCAATTTCACGAGCCACTTCCATTTTCGAGTACGATCATTTCTGGCCTTCAACCTGCACAGAGACGACCTGCAGGTTGAAGAAAGGTTCTCACTGGTACTCGAGGACTTTCAGTTTTAAAACGCCATGTACAGGCCGCAGACATTATCTAGGTTAAGGAGGCCACCGAGGTGTCACAGAGGCCTCCTGAAGGTTAAAGAAGCTCTCCAGGCTACGGTTCACAGCCGGGCATTGCTGGTAGATGACTATCAGTGCAAGCAATCCTCTCTATATTTTTTACTTGAGGTTATCTTGAGGTTATCTTGAGATGATTTCGGGGCTTTTTAGTGTACACTTAATTTACACTTACAACAAATCCTTCAAGATTATAGTACACATTCCACACTCCAAGACGTTTATGCAATATTTGGATTGTTGTATATATATATATATATATATATATATATATATATATATATATATATATATATATATATATATATATATATATATATATATATATATATAAAGGTCCACATTTCGTACTTTCTAACTATAGACTGGCATGTCAGAAAAAAAGTTATAAAAACTAAAAGCAGAGACAATAATAGCCTTATGGATCAAGGCCTAACCAAACGTATTCTAACTTAATAAGAAGTTCTCTATGTTATTTTTTGTTGTGGTTTCATCTCTTCCTTTTTGTCTAACATGCGAACTGCCAAAATTAATTTCAAGGAAAAGCTGACAGTTTGAGCTGCCACAAACTATATACAGGTCCAAGAGCAGAGGTGTCACATGTTAAAGGGGCCAACTGAAGGTCAAGGGCCATGTCGTAGGTGAGGCTAGTTATTATGAAGTAATGATACTTACCTTGACGGGGAGGAGGTAGAGTCTTTTGCGATAGGTCTTGAGACTACATATGAAGCAGGAGTAGTTGTAGGTGTCGTAGAGCCGGGCATAGTGGGCCACCTGCTCCTTCTCGTAGCGCTGCCACTGAAGATTTAGCGAGTGGAAGCAACAGAGACAAGACAGGACGCGGGAATCATCAACACGAGCCTCCGGGTGGGCTGACTGGTGCTTCTCCAAGAATGGGAAGAAGGGATCCGTACCGTGGGGTTTGCTCCACAGGGCGTACGTCTGTCCGGGCTTAGAGTGGAAGCTGCAGACGAAGCAATTGATGGCGATGCTTAGGGCGTTCTGGGTTGTGATGACAGGCAGCGTAGGCGCCTTCGGGTCCTGCTCTGCAGGCACCACCTCCAGTGTGTGGAGAGGCTGACCCACATACCCTGGTGGAGCCTTCTTCACATTCTCCGTGGACTTGAGATGCGCCTCTGCCGCCGCCGAGAAGCCATGTGGTGGGGAGCTGTCTGAGAGTGGAGACATGCCGGGCGAGGAGAGGTTGGGGCCCGGGGTGAGACGTGGGGATTGAGAATTCGAGGGCATAGCTCTCAGGGAGAACTGTCGGTGCTCCGTCGGTACTTTATCTTTCTCATACTCGGCCCACTGATTGCTGAGGTGCTGATAACAAGGAGAGCAGGCCAACACCCGCCCATTTTCAACTACGCTGTTCTGACCGATCCTTGGCAAGTATTTTAAGAAAGAGAAGTACATGCCGTCCTGAGTGATGCTTTCAACCACCATAGCTAGCCAGTGCATGGCCTGACGTGTATGGTTCTGGTGACAAAGGTAGCAGGTGGCCTCTTCCAAATGGGAGTCTGCATCTACAGCCGAGGCTGAGGGAGGCCGGGAGAGCAAGGGATGCGGGGTATGTGGTACTGGTGTGGTCATGGAGGTACTACCACCACCACCACGTTGATCATCCCCGGTATTAACTCCCTCGCCTGCATTCCCTTTCAGCTCCGGTGACCTGTTGTTGCTGCTGCTGCTGCTGCTATCTTTTCTGTTCTGAAAGTCCTTCTGCTGCTGCGGGATGGTCTTGTAACATACGCAGCACACCTGGACCATTCCCTGTGGCGAGATTGGCGACGCACCTTCCGGAGGGTCTAATCTTTGAATGAATGGGTAATATGGCTCATTTTCCGAGTTCGGTTTGCAGTATATTAAGCATAAGGAACTGGAGGGACACTCATTGCCGCACTTATAGCACACGAAAGCGGTGCAATCCTGCATCAGAGATGATCTCTTACGAAGAGAATAATTTCTTTCTCCGTGCGGGATGTTGTGGGCCTCGTAGGCGTCCCATTGCAGCTGCAGGTGACTGTAGCAGTCCCGGCAGCCCTGCACCCTCCCCGAGACCTCCATAGGATGCGACTTACTGGGACGAGGGTGCAGCATCAGGCTCGGAAAAAAAGGGCAACTTCCACTTTGTTGTTTGGCATATATATCGACTAAGGTTCCCTTCTTATGGTGGTCGCCACAGACGTAGCAGACCTCGGTGGTGGCGTTCTTGTCAGGCATCCGCAGGTCCAGTACCTCCGTCCTCGGGGGAGCTGCCAAGGGAGGCCGCGGGTCTCGGTACCCCACATCTTCTTCCCTCTCACGCTTGGTGCCTCGCCGGCCATCCAATGACAAGTCTAGAGCCTCCTGTTGAAGGCCCACCTGAGCTACTGCGAGACCCAAGGGCAGAGGCGGCACTCCGGGAGGTGGAAGGGGTAAACTTGGGGGTTGAGGCTGAGGAGGGATTATCCTCGTTCTCTTGACCTCAACAGAGGCCAAAGGCGCGGGTGTGGGCGGCTGAGATCGAGCTCCACTAGGCCCTGGCCTTTTAAGGTCGGAGGGAGGGGGCGGGGGCGGGTCCGGTGTCAGCCCCAGGAGCTGGGAGGCATACTCACTCTGCATGCCTCCTTCCACACCTGTGTAAGGCCCATTGTCCACCCGCTTGAGCCAATAGATGCGCTTGACGGGCGGCACCTTATTCCGCTCGTACAGCTGCCACTGCTGTGTCAGGTAAGAATAGCAGAGGAAGCACGAGAGGATGTGGCCGTCGACCGAGGGAGGCTCTGAGCCGTCGGGGGGCTCATGAGTTTCCAAGAAGGGAAAGTATGGTCCGGTGGCCTGCTGCCTGACCGCCAGAGGGTACTCTGCACACCGCGGGTACCCGCACACATAGCACGTAGCCCGCTTGACGTTGTCGCCTTCTGGCCGCACATAAACTGGCTTCATCTTCACTAACAGGGTCAGCGGGTGGGGGGTCACCCCACCTCACCACCTGTGGGGTTATCGCCACCTCACCACCTGCGGGGTCCTCACCACCTGCGGGGTCCTCACCACCTGCGGGGTCCTCACCACCTGCAAAACACAATAAAACAACATGAGAAACTGCCACGTGGACCGCTAAACACAACCACACTACAACCCGCTCACCTTACAAAGTTACAAGACATTTAGCCCATTGTGTACTATTGAAACCTGTAACAATCGTTCCCAGACCAAACCCCAGTAGATCGTACTAAACGTATACTTGGCGTATATGTATTATATAGGTCAAGGGTATATTAAAAATTGATCTATTTAGTTAAGACCTAGGATATGTTAGTTAAGACCTAGGATATGTTAGGTTAGGCCTAGGATATTTAGTTAGGCCTATGATACAGTAGGACGCTGCTGTGTTCGGTTTTTGTTTCTGAGTTTCGGACAGAATTAAACAAATTGAAGAGTGAAAAATGTGTACGAGACTAATTTGGGAGGATGAGTTTATGCACCTAGATTGTACCTGGGAGAGGGTTCTAGGAGTTCTTCTACCTCCCCAAGCCCATCCTGAGACCAGACTTGCGAGAGCTTGGTCCAACAGGCTGTTGTGCACAGCAACACACGCTGTGTATGTGTTCAACCCATACCCTTCCCTTCCGCTAAGACAATACGCATTATTTTGTGCGCAAGTCATACGCACAAAGCAATTTCAGTCTACAATTCGTCTTATGGTCAAATAATGTAGCAGTGGTTATGGTGTTATTATATTAATGGTGGTTGTGGTGGTATTATATTAATGGTGGAGGTGGTGGTATTATATTAATGGTGGTTGTGGTGGTATTATATTAATGGTGGTTGTGGTGGTATTATATTAATGGTGGTTGTGGTGGTATTATATTAATGGTGGTTGTGGTGGTATTATATTAATGGTGGAGGTGGTGGTATTATATTAATGGTGGAGGTGGTGGTATTATATTAATGGTGGTTGTGGTGGTATTATATTAATGGTGGTTGTGGTGGTATTATATTAATGGTGGAGGTGGTGGTATTATATTAATGGTGGTTGTGGTGGTATTATATTAATGGTGGAGGTGGTGGTATTATATTAATGGTGGAGGTGGTGGTATTATATTAATGGTGGTTGTGGTGGTATTATATTAATGGTGGTTGTGGTGGTATTATATTAATGGTGGTTGTGGTGGTATTATATTAATGGTGGTTGTGGTGGTATTATATTAATGGTGGAGGTGGTGGTATTATATTAATTGTGGTTGTGGTGGTATTATATTACTGGTGGAGTTGGTAGGGTCGGTGGAAGGATTGCTGGTTCATCCTCACAATCTTGACACAAGGTGGGAACTGAATATGTTTAATCACACAACACTAAGAAAAAACTACAAACTGTGAAGCAATTCTTGCGAGTAAAATTCCGAGATTAAACGCAGTGGGAGAAACCACCTCCCACCACAACACTTACAAACATTAGAGCTAACATAACAAATCCTCCTAATTATTCCATAGAAATATCTAATTGACTAACGTGTACTCGGCACTTTGACACGTTATTTCGTCATGGTGCAACCTGTCCTCTTACAAAGAACGTCGCATTTCGATCGTTTGCGTTACTTAAGGCCAAAAGTTGTCGTACTAGAAAATGGAAGCGGCTGGCGAAAGTGACCAACTGTCCCGTTTTCGGTTTTGGGTCCTCTGGTAAGTTAGGAGAGACATTCCATTCAAATTGACCGTTTTCTTGATGTTGGGAAACCTTAGGAAAACAAGCTGCATGGTGATTTTTTTTTTTGCAGGGATATTCCTGCGCGGGCCCTGAGCCTCTGGCTGGCCCACTATGCATGGTGATGAATCGACGTGGTGTCACTTATGTTCGCCGCCAGCGAACCACATGAACCAAATGGACCACATGGACCACATGGACCACATGGACCACGTGGCCTTGAACACCACACCACAGCAGACTTAATAGTCACCACCTCACGCACACCATGATGAAATTATTACAAGAAACAAAAAACACATCCTGGATGGTAAACTATTTGGAAATACCCACCATCTCTAAACCTGCGCCGTTTAAACTTTAAACTATAGTACGCAGGGAAATTCCTCTTTTTTCCCCCCCTCTGGTGGCCAGGCAGGGGAAGACCATTCCTGTGTTTGAGTTTACCTGTTCATCACAGAGGCCCCGGAAGCCCAAATTATTGTGTAACTGCCAGGGGGAAATGTGAATATAAGTGTCTATAAACATAAATTTACATAATTATTAATTTATTTAATATAAAACTAAATAATGACAATAACTAACACAAATAATTAACGAAGGTAGGAGGACTTATTTAATAATTCATCAAAATATATAAATACAAAAAAAATGCTCAGCGCAAGTCATACCAACATACACCTACCTTGAGGTTACCTTGAGGTGCTTCCGGGGGCTTAGCGTTCCCGCGGCCCGGTCGTCGACCAGGCCTCCTGGTTGTTGGACTGATCAACCAGGCTGTTGGACGCGGCTGCTCGCAGCCTGACGTATGAGTCGCAGCCTGGTTGATCAGGAATCCTTTGGAGGTTCACCACTACACTTTTCCCGCCAAACATTATCACAAAACATCCTCTCAGCTGACCACTATTCTACGGATGTAAACAGACGCACGTGACACCACTGCCTCACCGGTCTCCCGTAAACGCTGTTTTCATTCATGTTTTGAAACGAGTTTTCTTCCTGGGGAATCACGGATCGAGGAAGTGGGCTATTAAATGTCTAGACTTAAGATTATGATATATATTTTCCTCGGAATATTACTGACACGGAGATAAGACGCAAGTCTTGGTAAGCCGCTCGCCTGCAGTCACGGAGGCCAGGAATTGTATTTTCCCTTTCATTCTGCACAATAGCAAGATATGTAGATGGTATTGGTTATAATATATTTAGTGGTGGTGTGGTGGTTAAGGTTTGAAATGTGGTGTGGCTGTGGTGGAGTGACTGTGGTAATGTGGCTGTGGTGGTGTGGCTGTGGTAGTGTGACCATACCACCCACCTATCAAGCAGATAAGGTGGTATGGGCTGGATGTTACCATATAATGGGGGTGTTAACATTTTACCTATTTACCATTAGTCACTTTGTACCCTTATGGTTTCTAAGTGAATCTGAACTAATCGCTCTCTTACAATGCTCTTTGACATAGAATAACAAATCCATAGGTATACTGTAGGTATCCATAGTTAGGTAGCGTGTGGGTGGAATTTTGTTAGTTTTAGATTCAGTTCTCCCTGTGGAATGTTAGCACGGAGAAAAGGAATGAGGGTGGAGGCAGGGAAATTAAGAATGAGGGGAGGAGGTAGGAGTGGGGAGGGACTGGAGCGAGACCGGGATGCTGGAAACAGGGGGTGTACCGGATGCTTGTACAGCAACGAGGCGTGTCAATGACTGGACTGGTACGACTCAAACCGGACTTGCAGGTATAAAACTTGTTACGGAATTTTTAAGAGACAAAGGAATGATATTGTATTCACTATTTGTGCCAGCAGATTCGAGCTATTAGCTCTTGGACCCAAGGGTCCAATGTGCGACTCCCAGAGTGCGCTCTTGGCATTAGACGCACATAGTAATACCAAAAAAGTACTCAGTGATATTTGAATGAATATTTTTTCTATAAATAATATGTTTCTCGCCGACGCCCGGGATCGAACCCGGGACCACAGGATCACAAGCCCAGTGTGCTGTCCGCTCGGCCGACCGGCTCCCATGTGGTGACCTCACAAACAAAAGTGTCAACTGATCTTGTCAGTGAACTTAGCATTCACTGACACATGGTTATATATCGACTCAATCCTTGAGTCGATATTTAGGCTTCCTTAAGGGGCCAGTAGGCTCTTTTTTAAAGGATTTTTTTCCAACTGCATAAAACAAAAATATTGCAAAGAACAGTACAGAAAAACACTCTATAGTCAACTAGTAGATTGGGGAGGAGGAAACGAGCTTGTAACAACTATTACATATTAGTCTCCATAAAGGATGAGCTCGACAATTGACTTGGTAGCGATCTACCAAGATCTTAATGAAAAATACCCTGTAACATACACATTGACAAGGGTATAATTAAACAAATGGAGAGGCTAAAGCCAAATAAGTCTTCCGATACACACAGAAATCACAATAGCTTGATATATCAAATGAGCAAATCCATAAAGGGCCTTGATGAGGGTTCGAACCTACGGACGGGATGTTCCCAGGTGTGTGTTGTCGTGGTACAGTTGACTTAGGGGGGTTAGTTCCAAATATGGCAAAATATGCAATAATTGAAAACTAGTTCGATTTCAATCAAACTTTTATGACAAGTTGTATATGAAAAGGGTTTCATGTGGTCCAAGTCTCAGCATCGTAGCATAAATAGGGAGAAAAAAATATTGAATTATGTGTCAAAAATTTTCCAAAATGGTCAAAAACGATTATCAAACAAAAGTGTCAACTGAAATCATGCCTATGACTCTCAGCTATCACAATGGCATATATTAAAAACAAATTATAATTAGTTTTATTAAAAAATTAATTAAAACTTTTTTCTTTTTCTTTTTTAATTTTATTTTTTATTTGTTTATGGGGCGATTTGTATGAAACGCATACACCTGACTGCACGTAAGCCTATCTGTAAGGGTGAAAATTTTGGAGGAAAATGGTTGATGTCAACCTCAACCACAGATGGCAGTATCTTAAGCTTTAATATTTTAAAGATTTATTTTTCAATGTTTATGAAACATTGAAAAACTTATATGTAAAGTTTATGTCTCTAAAATCTGAAGGAAGCGTTTTTTCCTAAGTTCATTTATTGATTTTATAAATAGCAATAAACATGATATATTTGCATAATTTTTGGGAGGAACTTTGACTATTTGTATTAGGAAAACTAAAGATGTTTTGGAAAATCCCCTTTTACAGATCCTTTATCATATGCTAATGTGTCAGAAAAGTAACATAGAATGATTGTATCTGAAAAAGTGAAAGGTTTCAACTCACTTGAAAATGTGTAGTATTCTTTGAAAAAAAATTAAATCTCCCTTTCCATTTAGGCTGCAGTATTGAAACTTGGTACAATTGCAGCCTTTTTCATATACAACTACTCAAAAAAATATTGGTTGACATTGAACAACTTTAAAAAAAAAATATCTATCGCCCCCTAAGGCGCATCTGGGAACATCCCATGCATAGGTTCGAACCTTCATCAAGGCCCTTGTGAATTTGTTCACAATTTGCTCAGCAGGCTGAGAAGTGCGTTCTGGTTACTAGGTACGACACACACACACACACACACACACACACACACACACACACACACACACACACACACACACACACACACACACACACACACACACACACACATATATATATATATATATATATATATATATATATATATATATATATATATATATATATATATATATATATATATATATATATATATATATATATATACACATATATACACACAAATCACAATATCACAATAGCGCAATATATCACGGCCCTTGTGGATTTGTTCACATCCACTACAACCTGGTTGGTCCGGCACGTCTTGCAAGAACTTGTCTAACTGCCTCTTGAATAAGCCTACCTTTGTTCCGGCAATTTTTCTAATGCTTGCTGGGATGGTGTTGAACAGCCGTGAACCCTTTGAACAGCTTTGTACGCAATGTGGCTCCCCTCTCAGAGTAACTGTTAAGGGTGTGTGTATGGTAATTACCTCAAGACTGACTCTTCAAGTTGATTAAAATCGAACTCGATATTGGTTTAGGGAGTTCTCTTGTTGACAACGATCCCAGAGGCGTAGAGGGTATGGTGCTTCGTTGCTTCTAATTAGGATCCAGGACTGAGACGCCAAGGTAAGTCCACTACGGGCTCACCATAGCCCGTACTACTTGCGCCGCTCCTGTGCCAGGTAAGTCACGGGCTCACCATAGCCCGTGCTACTTGCAACTTGTTCCGAGTAGCTGAATCTATAACAACAGCAACAGATGCCAAGCTCTTGTACAACCACCACACAGTTTTTCTGTTATGAAAAAGTGTACCAGTCACTGTCTGTACAAGCGAGGATCACTAGATTCCCGTATTCCATACCGTCACTGGTTATTGTCACACATGAACATGTAGTATTGGCGGCTTGTGCAGCACACACAATCATACCTCAACAGTGTTCCAACACCCGCTCACGGGACGGGTGCGGGCTGCATAATAAATGTACAAAATCAAGTGTTGGAACACACACACCTGACACTTCCTCCCTGCAACCATGCGCCACTTTCCCCACCAGTCGGTGGGCTTTATTACAAGTAAATATTACTTGCCGACTGCTGGCTTAGCTGTGTTTGTGTAGCAGCCACGACTTGTCGGATCTAGTTTAACCCCACAATGCTTTCTGTGTACACGTGTATATCGCTAACTTGTGCGAGTGGAAACGAGTCAGCTGACCAGAGTAGATGACGCAGTTAGGCACCTCCCGCCCAGCTGGAGATCGTAGCCTAGTCTACGGCTCCAGAGCCTCGTCTGCGGCGCCTGAGCCTCGTCTGCGGCGCCTGAGCCTCGTCTGCGGCGCCTGAGCCTCGTCTGCGGCGTCAGAGCCTCGTCTGCGGTGCCTGAGCCTCGTCTGTGATGCCTGAGCCTCGTCTGCAGTGCCTAAGCCTCGTCTGCGGCGCCTGAGCCTCGTCTGCGGCGTCAGAGCCTCGTCTGCGGTGCCGGAGCCTCGTCTGCGGCGTCAGAGCCTCGTCTGCGGCGCCAGAGCCTCGTCTGCGGCGCCTGAGCTTCGTCTGCGGCGCCTAAGCCTCGTCTGCGGCGCCAGAGCCTCGTCTGCGCGTCCAACTGCTCCACCGCCACACTGCCACCTTCCACCCCTACAGAAAAACTGGGCTGCATCAGGCGTCACTAGTTGAAACTAGAACCCTTATCGTCAAGGCACCGATAACGATTAGGGAATACCAGCGATCACCCTGTTTACTTTCAAAGCAAACTGTTTGATACCTTTTTAATACATACGTGATTCGATCAGAACTCTGTGGACAATTATGAATATCCACAGTCTTGGTAAGGGGCGTATATACTTACCTAATACAATGTCCAAGTCTTCAGCTCCTGGTCTCAACTGTTATCGCTAACCCTCGCCCCCTTCAATTCTTTTAACTCGTGCTTTTAAAAGAAAGAAGAAATGAAAGAAAGAAAGAAGTGTATGTGTGTGCGCGCGCACAATGAGTCTGGCTGCTCTCTTCAGTAACTGAATAAACACATCGCCTTTGGACGTCGAAAGCCTCAACGGACAAAATATGATATACTATAAATCACAACGGCTCACAAAACAAAAGCTTTCTAGATTTGTTGAACCAATTGCCGCGTAACGTGGTGGAGGTGGGGGTCCCTCGATTATTTCAAGCGCGGGTTGGACATGTATATGAGTGGGATTGGGTGGTTATAGATAGGAGCTGCCTCGTATGGGCCAATAGGCCTTCTGCAGTTACCTTTGTTCTTATGTTCTTATGTTCTTATTCATGGATCGCTCAGTTCGCTTAGGTTCTGGTGTCTTAGTACACCATTTACTGTCCGTTGTGAGAATTGTCGAGGACGGGCTGGAGTAGCGAAGGCGGGCGGTCATCAGCTGCGATGGAATATTTCCTCATGCATTACTATCTCTAGCGATGAATGATAACAACCCGGACGATGGTGCTTAATATTATATTAATTTGGATAGTAATTGGTGCGTGTATGGTCGACGCTCTTCACTGGTACATCAGCCGGGGGGGGGGGTGCTTACCTGGTGGTCAGGTGCGCAGGGGGAGGAGGAAGATAGCAAGGGGGGAGGAGGAAGATAGCCAGGGGGGGGGAAGAAGAGAGCGAGGGGGGAGGAGGAAGATAGCGAGGGGGAGGAGGAAGATAGCGAGGGGGGAGGAGGAAGATAGCGAATATTTGGGCACGTTATTAAAGTGCACCACTAACAAGTGTAGAATATTTGGGTATGTTTGTAAAGTGTTATCCTAACACACTAGCAACCCCCCCCCCCTCCCCCAAGCAGTGTGCTGCTGACTGCCTAATTAAATACTCACAAAGCTCAAAGTATCTCATGACATCTGGTCTAAAATAGTTGAGCCATCGGTCAAGGCAGGGACCCCCATCCCAGGGATTCCACCGCTAAACAGAGGGAGGCCCCGCTCTTCCTCCCATAAATACATGTACAATAGTGTTTAATATACTTTTACCTGTCACAGGTGTGGCATCTACATAGTAGGCATATAAAAACACGCGCATATACGAATGGAACGTTGTGTCAGAAATTCAAAGCAATCAGTGAAGAACTTTGGGAGTTAAAATAATTAATGATGTGGAGAATATTACAAATATGCAAAGATATAATCTTAGCAAGTCTTTGACCAGATGTTTCGGCCTTGGTCTCCCAGGGAGAGGAGTTGTTTCTCCAGTGACCGTCCAACAAACACTAACTATATTTTCTTTGGATTCCTTCAAGGAAGCCGGAAGGATTCCTTGAGGAGCCGGTCGGCCGAGCGGACAGCACACTGGACTTGTGATCCTGTGGTCCCGGCTTCGATTCCGTCGCCGGCGAGAAACAATGGGCAGAGTTTCTTTCACCCTATGCCCCTGTTACCTAGCAGTAAAATAGGTACCTGGGTATTAGTCAGCTGTCACGGGCTGCTTCGTGGTCGAGGACCGGGGCGCGGGGACACTAAAGCCCCGAAATCATCTCAAGATAACCTCAAGATAACCAAGCCTATGGTTTCCCCCCACGAGCTTGGCTCTGCTAGGAGCTCCAATCATTTCAAACCAAATTTCGATGCCCTGGCCCCTTGGCCAATGGCTGTCAGGTACTAACTGCCCCGGGGTAACTCCGCCTCTCAGGCCTACTCCAATCACTCGAACCCCTAGGCCTAATACCATGGTACCATTAACCAATGAAACAAAAGCCCTCGCTCTTAGCCAATGGAATGCTTGACAACTGCCTGGAGGCGGTTTTCTCTCGGAATCTGGAAATAGCGGTTACAACCAGATTCTTGAGAAAAAGCCTCGTCTAACCAGCCACCCAAGAGAGAGAAACTTGAGGATAAGGTTTTATGGCACTGTCTGAGTCTTATTGTCCCCCCCCCCTAGCATGGAGGAGCGGAAAAGGGGAGGAGGGGAAAAAGGGGAAGGAAGAGGGGGAGAAGAACAAAGTGGTCGACAATTTGACCCTTACAAGCAAGCACACAGACAGCGCCGCTCCTGTGCCAGGTAAACTACGGGCTCACCATAAGCCGTGCTACTTGGAACTTGTTCCGAGTAGCTGAATCTATAACAACAACATGCATACCTGGTTGTAAACATAGTGCTGGATTTTACTCTAGATAAACGTATTAGGGTAAGACATTGTGGAAGGACAGAGATCTAAACCTCCCGTCAAGAGACACAAGTCATTTGTTCCACTCAAATTTGTAAAAAAGTGAACTTCAGACACACAATTTACCATAAAATATAAAAAATATTGTCGAAATAAAGTGGAAATTTTCAAGAGGATTGTAATGCCGTATAGAACGTGCCGGGCGTTGGGGGAACAGAACTCTTGAAACCTTCTACAGGTAAACTAGGCCACATGGTATATAAGCTAACTCCCGGTAACTCCACCCTGACGGGAGACATCTCCCGTCACGCAGGGTGCAGTCGCACCTCCACAGATCTCCAGTATCAGTTCTTGATACTGGTAATGGCTCAAATGGGCCACCACTTAAGGGCTATTCATGCCCGTGCCACCTTTTGGGTGGCTTAATCTTCATCAATCAACTCCACCCCTCACTCTTATCAACCATCCTTGTCCTATCCTCTCCCGCCTGCCACTCTCCCACCTACAGCACTTTACAATCCAACATAAGACATTCGTGACGACTCTGAGAAGCCATTTAGCTAGCGTAGTTCCTCCAGGCCGGACTCCTGAGACGGGACCACGAACCGCTTCTTACTGGCATTCTTCAACCATCAGCAGAAACTGGCACACCGTCTACCGGAGAGGGATTGCTCACCGACGAATGTCTTATCGTAACGGAAACATCCATCACTAAAAGGTCATTAGGGTTGGTTATACAGCTCACGAAAACACACACACACACACACACACACACAAAGGCGGGACCAAAGAGCCAAAGCTCAACCCCCGCAAGCACAAATAGGTGAGCACACACACACACACACACACACACACACACACACACACACACACACACACACACACACACACACACACACACACACACACACACACACACACACACCAGCGGGCAACTGTTCTTCACCCGCTCGCTGACACTCTTTTTTTTTTTTAATTTTAAATTTTGTGGCGAGGGGCGAATTTATTGGGCAGCGCCACTCATCTTGTGAGTGGACACACCGCCATAGTAGCATGTACAACACTCCCCAATAGGAAGAAAACCCGATTTTCGCTGACACTCTTCTGGGTTGAAGGCGTCAGGGGCCAGATTCACGAAGCAATTACGCAAGTACTTACGAACCTGTACATCTTTCCTCAATCTTTGATGACTTTGGTTACATTTATTAAACAGTTTACAAGCATGAAAAGTTCTCAATCAACTGTTGTTATTGTTATAAACAGCCTCCTGGTGCTTCGGAGCTCATTAACTGTTTAATAATTGTAAACAAAGCCGCCAAAGATTGAGAAAAGATGTACAGGCTCGTAAGTGCTTGCGTAGCTGCTTCGTGAATCCGACCCCAGGCGTGCAGGCGCCATAGTCTCATGTTGAATCCCGCCATTTCTCTTGATTTGTCACAACGTGCATCATACAAAAGGGCTAACCTTGCTAGAAACATATGAACCCAAGCAACCTACCTAACCTAACCCACCGACGCATAGAAAACGAAGATATTTGTGAGCCGCTACTTCTTATAGTACTTAGTATTTAGTAAAATAGGTGCCATAGCCTACAAAATGAGACGTACTATTTGAGAGGACAGATCTAAAAACAGCCGGTCGGCCGAGCGGACAGCACACTGGACTTGTGATCTTGTAGTCCTGGGTTCGTTCCCAGGCGCCGGCGAGAAACAATGGACAAAGTTTCTTTCACCCTATGCACCTGATACGTAGCAGTAAAATAGGTACCTGGGTGTTAGTCAGCTGTCACGGGCTGTTTCCTGGGGGTGGAGGACCAGGCCTCCACCCCCAGGAAACCCTTACAACCTGGTCTTCGACCTAAATCACTAAAGTCCCGAAATCATCTCAAGATAACACTAAAAAGAGGAAGAGTTTATCTCAAGTGCTGAATGCCAAATACCGGAGCTGTCGAAGCAGAAAGGTCGCTTTTTAGACCACGTTTTGTGGAATTTGAACCCAAGCGTCCACGTATGATGGAACGATCTGCACGAAACTGGTTCGTGCCGCAAGTGCAGGGTCTTAGCGTCACGGATAATCGTGGGGCTGTAACAGGAACCTTTCCCGGTCCCTCAAACCTCCATCAACTCTGTTGGGCCACGGGATGTTCACCATGGTGTGGGCTCCTTATGTGGACTCCTCACATATGTGCAAAAGGTATATATGGGCAGCTTCAAAATGCTGTAAAACATACTTCATGCTCAGTGACGCAGGAAAAACGTAGTGACTGGCGCAAAATAACTTGTTAAGAGGATATGAGACAGACAGACAGACAGACAGACACATACACACACAACGGGGGTCTGGTAGCTGAGTGGACAGCGCGCAGGACTCTTAATTCTGTGGCCCAGGTTCGATTCCCGGACCGGGCAGAACAAAGGGGCAAAGTTTCTTTCACCCTTCATGCCCCTGTTACCTAGCAGTAAATAGGTACCTGGGAGTTAGTCAGCTGTTACGGAACTGGTTATTATTCTCACCGTG